TATTATTGTGTAGTTATTTAAGAAGTTGATTCAGTAATTTATGTTTTAATTGGAACTTATCTAATTACAGGTTTAAAACGAATCACGCGCCGGCTAATCCGTTAAATAAAATTCTTATCGCTGTAAAAGAATATGGAATGTTATTCCAAACACCGCCCAGTATTCTGAGCCAGTGTGGAATCAACAAGAAAAATGAGTCATTCCAGTTTTGGGCTGTTGGGTAGTATTATTTTATTTTTTTAATAAACTGTGTGTATTTTTAAGACGTTATTAATTAATTTTGTGTATTTTACAGGCGTGTTTTCAGCGAACCAGAGCCAAGAGAATTATATGTGTGCTATCACGAATCTGTTCCTCAGGATCTGACTGAAGTGGCGTATTTACTATCATATCTAGAATAATATTATTAATATGTACTCAAAATAAAATAATAAGTCTATTTTATATGAACAAACGCATTTTCAGTTACGATATGACCAGTGGCGGATTAAGAGTATCCGAGGCCTTAAGCACAGAGCCTGTGTAGGCCCTCTATTGCTTAAATGGAAATGGAAGGAATGGAATGGAAGGTATAAAGTATAAAATGAAAGTTCATCAAAATAGAAAGTGTAGTAGGTGAAATGTAAAACTTAAAACATTATTTTCCTTGCCTTAATCAGAGCAAACTCCGAGATTACATCGTCGAAATTTATCCGACGAAGTATGTCTGCCTCAATACACATTAATGCTAAATAATTAAGCTTGTCTGGACGGATTTTTGTTCTTTGCGGGTTCACTTTTTCTAATTTTATTTTTTTATGTAACCCTGAATAATGCTTCTGTTTGGAATTTATTGTACCCTTAAGACTCCGCCTTTATCNGGGAAAATCCTTTTGTATGAAAAATCTAAACCGCTTAAGTAGACCTGAAGTGATGCAGTGACCGCGCGCTCTCCGCCCTCTATCTCGAAAACGGTTCACCGTATAAAAAAAGTTTTTAAACAAAATTTGTAGAGAATTTAGTATTCTACAATATTGATAATAAATACAAATAGCAAAAAATCCACAGGAAATGAGATATTTCTAAAAAAAACGCAAAAAACCGATTTTTGTGATCGTTGACCTTGAAATTTAATAGTTGCTTACACCCTACCATATGTAGGTTTTGAGACAACTTTTAGGGTGTCAATATACACGTATTTACAGACTTACAGCTGGGTATCTCGAATTCCGAAGTGAACTTACTATAATGACTGGACTATTTCGCATTTATAATATTAGTAGGATTTAAACGGCCTTGTTGATATGCAGTTTAGTTTAGTGTCCGTGACTTCCACTCGGCATGGGGCCCACTGAAAACCAGCGTCGTGGCCTTCCCCACCGTGGGCCACGGCATATGCTGAGTGGAATCCCATTGCGATGGGCATCGCTGTTGCGAGTCGCAACCCGGTTGTTGCTCAATGGTTGTGAAACGAATCAACTTGCTCGATTTTGGTTCGTATATTTACGAAAGCCAATACACAATATTTTTGGTCGCTTTGCTTTAAAACCAGATTATAACAGAGGGACTTAATTAGTATAATAATTTATGTTGATTTATATTTATACAATTTATTTATTGAAGCTTCTCTAGCGCCAGTTGGTCTACCAGAATCTCATGGCAAACAAAAATATTGGAAAAGTGTGTTTTTCATATGGCAATTGTCTATGGTTTAATTGTCACCTGTCAAAGAAAATTATGAAATCTGTCAGCCGCTGCAAAAATTTTGTAATCTCTTCTTGACTATTTGTTATTTTTGTGAAAAAGTCGAAAAAGCTCAAGCAAGTCATATTGTTTTCAATGTGAATTGTAAAATAAGGCATAATTCAAAGTCAATCTCTGATTTTAAAGCGCGTCGTCGAGTTGACAGTAAGTTGGACTGAAATGTTTTGATACATTTAGTTTATTACCCAACTATTTATTATTATTTTTGGCGAATTAATTTGTTTCAAAAATTAAAATGAAAAAAATAATAATGAATTGAAAAATATTAAATATGCCATTCGATCCTATTATGTGTTCGTATTAATACCCTAGAGTTATGAGATATCAAAAGGAATACGTTGTATTTTAATCCCATTCAGAGAAATGTAGTGTTTTTAACATCAGGAAACTTCGCCATTGAAATGCTGGAAGAGCAATTTATTTACAATACCTCGTTATCTTGATCATCTATTGAAGAACAAGAAATGCAAGTGGAGTTCTTAGAATCGTTTTCTAGTTCTGAATGAAGTGATAAGTTAAAAGAATGATGCATTATGAAATTAGTTACTTAACCCATATATGCCCAGAGGCACGAAAACGACCCAACGGTACATGTTCTCTTGCGATGCCGATTAAAAAAAAACTGTGCTTTTGTTTTCTGTTTTAATGCCATAAATATAATCTTGAAAGAACTTCCTAGTCAAATATAACAGTTGATAAGTTCGTTCGCCTGCAGTTTTTTTCGAATTTGACATTGAACTTCATAGATTTTTTTGTTGTTGAAATTAGTGCACCCAGTCTCACAAAACTGTAAGTATTCTTTTATGTCTTCTGTTTTGAACGATTATTGCGATTGCAATAATGAAATGAATATATTTCTAAGGTAAATAAGTAAGAAGTGTTGTGAAAATATAAATATATGCTTTGTTATTTGTTACAAAAGTTCTGTTGGTCGAAAACGACCGCATGGGCATATATGAGACCAGAATGTATGTTTTCCTAGTATAAAGTATTTCAAATAAAAGTCGCGTTTTTTATATAATTAGTTTATAATTTCATCAAATTATAGCAAATAATGTAAAATAATGATATTTGGTTAATTTAGGAACTTTTATAATTACACAGTTAGTATACAATTTAGCCATGAAATGCTGCAAAATACTTGGTTTTTTTTTTGCATACTGCACAATTTCTACGAATCTGACCGGTGAGGATCAAATGCTCAGCACACATACCGCCTTTTAGAGGTATATTAGAGGGCATTGTGCGTGTTGAAGGTCCAGGCTGAGTTCGAGGCGATCCATTTGCTAGACGCAAAATTCTAGCAATTTACCTTCGAATCTCTAAAGTGTCTACAGATGCTTCAAGCGATCTCGCTATTATGGCAGAGTTATTGATGAGAAGGAAAAAAACGGTTTATGGTATTCTCACATGGTTGATTGATGTCACCGTCAATAATAACTCTGGAGTTTCAAAGATATATTGTTAGAAATTTGCTCCCAAAATATGGATCTCCTTGAACTCAGCCTGGACCTTCAACACGCCCAGTGCCGTCTAATATACTACTAAGTGTGAGGCGGTATGGTCATGGTGCTGAGCATTTGATCCTCACCGGTGAGATTCGTAAAAAATATGATTATGCAAAAACATTACTGTGAAGAAATCCAGTAAGTGCGGTATAAATCTCCATGAAAAATGTTTTGCAGCCTAAATTATACTAACTGTATTATTATTCAATTTCCTAAATAAACCAAATATGATTATTACTATACACTATTTGCTGTAATCTGTTCAAATTTGTGTACTAATTCTATCATGAATACGACTATTATTTGAAAATACATTATACCACGAACATCTATATTCTAGTCTCATATATGCCCAGGCGGTCGTTTTCGACCCACTGAAAAAAAAAATAGTTCCAAGTGCTGAAATCCAAAAACTCATCGTGGTTCATGATTAGGGGCATATATAGAGTAAATATACCAAATTACATAAAAATCTGGGACCTAAATAGATCTGGGCATATATGGGTTAAAGTAATATACGATTTATTTATTTTTCAAGACATTTTCCTATGTTAAAAACCTGATGTATAACAACATTCTTCATACACATACCTACCTAAAATGTATATTCGTAATTCATGTTCATTAATATTAAAGTCATAAAAATAAAAAATTAAACAGTATCAAGATCGTTTATTCCAATTTCCCCAGTATTGCTCTCAACAAAGTTTATTTTCCCTATTTGCCATGAGATTCTGGTACACCTATACTTGTAAAAATACTACATTATGGCGTATTGATTAAAGACCATAAAAATGCTTTCTTAAAGTTTATTTTCCCTCGCTCCAACAATGTACAAAATCAATGCGACAGCAGCGCCATCAGCGGAAATGATGTAATAAATATACCATAGACAGTTTAAATAATAAAAAATGCGTCATTACAATATAAGCTCTTTCAAGTTGCAATAAGAGTGATATTATATTTAGCAGATAAATTGTAGTGTAAAACCATCTTACAGCTCCATGAAAAAAAAAACTCAATGCTTCCGGTATCNAAAAGGTTAAAAATATCCTAATTTACCAATTTCCCGCACTTTCTACCATCACTCTATGTACCAATAGTAATTTATAACAGTCTTGCATGAAGCAAGTACCCAATTTATTTCTTACGATGCTATTAGATTTACAAACACAGTTAACACTGAAAACATTTTTTGTGAATACTGAAGGGATCAGAGAAGGGATATTGGTAGAAAATACGTTCTGCATCTGCTATAAATAAAACAAGGTATAGATGGCGCACCGGTTGTTGCTCAATGGTTGTGAAACGAATCAACTTGCTCGATTTTGGTTCGTATATTTACGAAAGCCAATACACAATATTTTTGGTCGCTTTGCTTTAAAACCAGATTATAACAGAGGGACTTAATTAGTAATTATTATGTTGATTTATATTTATACAATTTATTTATTGAAGCTTCTCTAGCGCCAGTTACTTGTAAAAATACTACATTATGGCGTATTGATTAAAGACCATAAAAATGCTTGCTTAAAGTTTATTTTCCCTTGCATTTAATCGCTCCAACAATGTACAAAATCAATGCGACAGCAGCGCCATCAGCGGAAATGATGTAATAAATATACCATAGACAGTTTAAATAATAAAAAATGCGTTATTACAATATAAGCTCTTTTGGGTTGCAATAAGAGTGATATTATATTTAGCAGATAAATTGTAGTGTAGAACCATCTTACAGCTCCATGAAAAAAAAAACTCAATGCTTCCGGTATCTGCCGCGTCGTGCGATTGGTTTCTGGAAATTCGATGCAGTGGCGAAATTCGTCATGGAGAAATAATTTTAGACCTCAATCAAGTATTGTTGACTCAAGGGACTAACTTTAAGTGTGTGTGAGTTTTATGCAGACTGTTAACCGTGAATTGAATTATGATAACCAAAATGCAACCTCAAGCGAATGTTGCCGTGCCACAATCTGTCACAACGCAGCCCCAACAAATAGTCGGTGTTCCAGCGAATGCCGTGATCCTGAAAATGTCGGATATTCAGCAAATATCTACAGTGGGTGAGTGTAAAGTTTATGTATTCATTTGTTTTCTATTTGTTAAATTTCGAGATCAACATTCACTTGTCATTGTCGTGGAAAATTTCGATGGTCATTTCCATGGGACAAGTTCTATTGTCTATCCGTGCGTTTGTAACGAACTAGATTTTATTCAGATGAATTATAAAGCTTGCTTTTGTTCAGGACTATTGGAACTGGCACATCGTGAGTACCAAGCGGGAGATTATGAAAGCGCAGAACTGCATTGCATGCAGCTATGGCGTCAGGATGGCACGAACACTGGTGTTCTCCTTCTACTGTCTTCCATCCACTTCCAGTGTCGCCGGCTGGACAAGTCTGCGCACTTCTCCACACTGGCTATCAAACAGAATCCTTTACTTGCAGAAGCTTACAGGTAAAGAACATTTTTAACCTTTGTTTACCTAGTTCTTATATCATGTAGTTGTATAACTTAGTTCACAATCCTGCTGAATGCTCAGTCATGTAATAATAACTTTTAGAGTAAGTGTATCATTTGGAACATTCATAATCTTATCAATCATACTTATCTTAAAGCCAAACAAATCCTATGAGTATGAAATGAAGATTTTGAAGCAGAATTTGTTTACAGCCTTGCTCAGTATTTTGCTTGTATTTCTTATTTTTGAAGAATGATTGGCAATGGGTACACATTATTTTGGCACCTTCTGACTATTAAGAATAAGGTCATTTTATTAGCAGGATCAATTAATCAATGCAAACATTACATCTAGCATTAATCTTATTAGTAAACAGCTTTAAATAGATAGCAAACAAGATGTTATCAATTGATACTAATTTAGAATTGATTACTCACTCACTGTATAGGTAATTATTAGAAATATGACGTTCTGAAAGTTGCATAAAAAGGCTTGAAAAGATGAATTTAAAATTTGTAGATAAATTTTATCTGTTACATCAGTTCATTAGGCAGTTATCTTTTTCACTGAGTTTTTAAAACCCACAAACATTACAATTTAAATCTTTATTCCTCAGTAACCTAGGCAATGTGTACAAAGAGAGAGGACAACTCCAAGAGGCATTGGAGAACTACAGGCACGCGGTGAGGCTAAAGCCTGACTTCATTGATGGGTACATCAACCTGGCCGCGGCCCTTGTGGCTGCCGGGGACATGGAACAGGCCGTCCAAGCTTACGTCACTGCATTACAGTATAACCCTGTAAGTATTTACAATAGAATAGTTTTTATTCAGGTAGTGGGGAAGCGCTGGACGCAGTCTGCTACCAATCGATCAACATGGAAAGCATTGGGGGATGCCTATGTTCAGCAGTGGACGTCTTATGGCTGAAATGATGATGATGATGTTGATGATGAGTTTTTATTCAGTACTAGGGCCTTTCTAGGGTGCTTATTTATACACACCCCAAATTTAGTTTGTTTATTATGTTTATTTATTATTTACTACATTGATATTTAATTTTGTCCAATAGATTCTTTGCTATCATATGATTATGTGAATGGAAAAATGATTCAAAGACAAATATTATGGCTTCTAGCTATACATACAATTATAGTATAAAAGTTGATAATGTGGTTTCAACGTTATGTAACTTAGGAAAAAAATATTAGTCAAGAGCAGAATATAAACGTTAATGTGAATCGGAAAATAACAAGTACAATCTGGCTTTAAGCCTTANCTGGCTTTATCATTGAACAGCTTATTTTTAATAATAACAAGGTTATTTTTGGTAAACATAAATGGATAGACATATAGATTGGTCATTGTTTACTTTTAAGATCTTTTGTGACCTTGAATTGTAGTTATAATCGTAACTTTGTCGCCGATTTCCGCGTCGATTACCCATTGTTGTTGGTTTTGTATGTCATCATCATACCCATTATAAATATTCCACTCCAAACTTCCACTGCCTGTTTACGTTTACGCTAAAGTGACACATTTGTTATTATGATGCCGGTGAAAAATGTGGACTAATTATTGTTTTTCAACAACATTTTTCTTTCACTCAGTTGTGTGAAGAAAGTTGATGTGTCTAAACTTAATAAAATACCTATTTTCTTTGTACATGACTGTGTTATTATGCATGGGAATATGATATTCTGAATGAACATTGCTTGTTGATTTTTAACAAATACAAAAGATTATTGTAATAACACTTCATCAAGTTTAGTCTGTTGTACAAATGAAAACAAAATATTAGAAAACTTAGCTCTTCTGCAATGATTTGGACCTGAGAAAAAGGCTTGACTATTCCATTTTATGAAAACTTGATGAGGCGTGAGCGTTTTTCGCAGCACGTGCCCTTAACGCGTACTCTGAAGCATGGAGTCATGAGTATTTTGTTATCAGAAAAGTCAGATGATTCAAGTATGAAATGTCCTAACAAAACGATACAAAGTGATTTCTTCACTTTATGTGATTCATTTTGAAAAATAACCATGAGCTTTGTCTATTTAAATGTAATCCTATTAATTCAATATGTCGTCGAGTCACGCGCCACGAACTTGATTATTAATAGACCTTGTAAAATGTACAGTTCTCATAATAAACAGCCGTCGGTTGCTAGTCTGATCGACGGCATAATAAATGCCTGCTCTTATTATTGGTGGCCTGAAAGATAACATCAGCAATATTAGTCTTTGGTCTTAAGATGTTATCTTGATCAAAGTTATGCTTACTAAGTTGATTGGAAGAATAATATGCCTTATCATATTTATTTTTATCTTTTCTCTACAAGATTTGTTAAGGAAGTTAGTATAACTATTATACTATACATTTTGCCAGTGCCGAAAGATGATGCTCCTTATGCAGGATTACACAGAATTTTATTGTAACTCTGACACATACTATTTATCCATTGCCTACCTACTTGAAAAAAATCGAGGGGACATTTTTAAAATAGCTTGGTTCATGGGACACTATTTCAGTAAGTACTTATTACTAGAAAGAAATAACTAATGCTATTCAAGTTGAATACAAAGTAATCTGTTTTGAAGATTTCAAATAATATTGTCAGTCAGTACAGTATCCATAAAAGCAGTCTAAACAGACCCATGAGCAAGGATTTTAATTTCGTTACTTAACATAGTTTGCCAGGAACAAGTTTTATGGAGTTCTTTCCGTGGATAGGTAATAACAGTGCTTATTGTTCCAGGACCTTTACTGCGTTAGGAGCGACTTGGGCAATTTGCTCAAGGCCCTCGGCCGCCTGGACGAGGCTAAGGTAAATACGTTTTGTGCGCCACTTTCCGGTTCGCTCTGAAGTTAACGGGATTCGCCGGCGGTTCCCTTTGTGCCCCAACAAATTAGTGAACTCTCCGTTTTGCCAGCGTACATTGCAATTGCGTAAATCCTCCTTCGGGACAGCATTTGGCGTCGAGCTCTTTGTAATGGTTTCAACAATGTCTTTCTATTTGAGCTATATGGAAACTCAGTTTCCGCTTGTTTAAACCATTCAAGTTTCTATGAGGACAAGGCGGAAATATGACGACTTTGCTTGCTGTATTAACACATTTTCTGTCTTGTCTCTCATTTTTCTTTTTTATATGAGTCGCAAAATATCTTTTAGTGGAGTGTGGTCGTGTATTGATATTTTGCGACAGCCATTGCGTAAAAAACTAAATCAATATTCTACACGTTACTTTGGTTTGGTCATGAATAAAATGAGCTGCATACTGACTTAGAATGTAAGGAGAATTCGAGAATCGATCCCGTTTTCTTTTATATTCATACAATCACGCAACTTAACTCAAATAATACTGAATAAATACAATGAGTTATGTGAATACGTGTTTCGTTGTTAAATTAAATGACGTGGTTTGTTTTTGTAATTACTTTAACTACAGGTGTTATTACACAACAGACATGCAAATGCATTATAATTGAATACTCGTATTAATTATTTTCCTTGTTCTATGTCAGCGTAGATTAAATTCTATGTATACGATGATGATTTATTTTTACATGTGTAGAATATTGGTTATTAAATAGAGGGTGCACTAATTTTTAAATTGCCATACTACTCACCATGACGAACCAGCCGTATGCGGTCCCGCTAGCTTCATTGTCTTATATTTAGTGAAATTTTCCTTGTGCTTGTAGTGAATACTTACTATACATTTACGAGGATCAAAGGAGTCAGTAGTGATAATATCATTTAGTGGTATGACGTAGTGAGTTTGTTTATTTGTAATATAATTTGGTCATTCACATTCACGCCTGTCGCTATACTCTGCTCGAGACAGCGAGAGTGACAATGATCCTCTTGTATCATAAATATTTTATTTGCAAATACAATTGTAAGTTGAAAATCGGGAACTAGTTTGACTCAAAATCAACTAATTCTATTATATTTTCACAAGGTGTTGTCTGGTAAGACAGTAGGTGTGACCGGAGCTGTATCTAGCTGGGTTACGGTTGGTACCACACTCGCATTCCCGCCGCGATGACAGCATGCCTGCAGCAGGTAAAGTGTGAAAGGTTTGAGGAACTAAGTTTTGACAGGTCATTGGATAAAACTCGTTCTCTTTGACATATCATTGTCGTGCATCTCTTCTCATCGGCTAGGAAGTGAAAGCGGTGGATATCGCTTCTCGCGTTGAAATGTTTCGGGTCTTGATATTTGGGTTTTAACACGAATCTGAATCGAAATTCTCGTCGTTTGCATTTCCTACTGATGTGTGTGGCTCTCGGCGTAGTATCGTGTCGTTAGGGTGCATTTGGCGTAACTATGTTTCTTGATTGGTGCTCGGTTATTTTTCTTGCTCACAATGACCTAGCGCCATTCAATGCATTTGGTGTAATTACTGCAACACTGGCGTAACGAATTTCAGAAAATCATCACTATGGATATATGCGGACCTGAAATTAACTTGTAATTTTTTCGTGTGTTTAGGCTTGTTACTTGAAAGCCATAGAAACGAGGCCAGACTTTGCAGTCGCATGGAGTAACTTGGGATGCGTGTTTAACGCACAAAGTGAGATCTGGTTGGCAATACACCACTTTGAAAAAGCAGTGGCCTTGGACCCTAATTTCTTGGATGCTTACATCAACTTGGGAAACGTTCTCAAGGAGGCGAGAATATTTGACAGGTAATAAGAATTAGAAATTAAATTAGTTCATAAAAGCACTGTCTCGATAATTTATAACATGCACTAAACCGTATTTTTCCTTTCGACAGGGCTGTAGCGGCTTACTTACGCGCTCTAAATCTATCGCCCAATAACGCCGTCGTCCACGGCAATCTGGCGTGCGTATACTATGAACAAGGACTGATTGACTTGGCTATCGACACATACAGGCGGGCCATAGAACTGCAACCCAACTTCCCTGACGCGTATTGTAACTTGGCAAATGCACTAAAAGAGAAAGGCCAAGTGGCTGATGCGGAGGAGTGTTACAATACAGCTCTACGACTATGCCCCTCCCACGCAGATTCGCTTAATAACTTGGCCAATATCAAACGCGAGCAAGGTTTTATCGAAGAAGCGACGCGGCTGTACCTGAAAGCACTAGAAGTTTTCCCAGAATTTGCTGCTGCACACAGCAACTTGGCCTCTGTACTGCAACAGCAAGGCAAGCTCAATGAAGCTCTTATGCATTACAAGGAGGCGATCCGGATTCAGCCGACCTTCGCCGATGCCTACAGCAACATGGGCAATACCCTCAAGGAAATGCAAGACGTGGCTGGCGCTTTACAGTGCTACACTAGAGCCATTCAAATTAACCCTGCGTTCGCCGACGCTCACAGCAACCTGGCTAGCATCCACAAAGACTCGGGCAATATCCCCGAGGCTATACAGTCATATAGAACGGCACTGAAGCTCAAGCCAGATTTCCCTGATGCATATTGCAACCTGGCCCACTGTCTTCAGATTGTGTGCGACTGGACGGACTACGAAGCGCGCATGAAGAAGTTGGTCAGCATTGTCGCTGAACAACTCGAAAAGAATAGGCTCCCGTCGGTTCATCCGCATCACTCGATGCTTTACCCGTTGACGCACGACTTCAGGAAGGCTATTGCGGCTCGCCACGCCAACTTATGTTTGGAAAAAGTCCAGGTTCTCCACAAGCCACCTTACAAGTTCCCGCGCGAGTTACAAGGCCGACTCCGCATCGGCTACGTGAGCAGTGACTTCGGGAACCACCCGACTTCTCATTTGATGCAATCGGTACCTGGTCTTCACGATCGTACTAAGGTCGAAATCTTCTGCTATGCTCTAAGCCCAGATGATGGCACGACCTTCCGCTCCAAGATCGCTAGGGAAGCGGAGAACTTCATTGATCTCTCCCAAATGCCGTGCAACGGGAAAGCCGCTGACAAAATATATGGTGACGGTATTCACATTCTTGTCAACATGAATGGTTACACGAAAGGCGCGAGGAATGAAATATTCGCATTGAGGCCGGCACCGGTTCAGGTCATGTGGCTGGGCTACCCGGGAACGAGTGGCGCGAGTTATATGGACTACCTGGTCACAGATGCAGTCACATCCCCAGTAGAACTGGCCAGTCAATACAGCGAGAAGTTGGCTTACATGCCGCAAACATACTTCGTTGGTGACCACAAGCAAATGTTCCCGCATTTGCAGGAGCGCCTTATTCTCAGTGACAAAGTGAAGTCTCATAACAGCTTGGGCATTGTAGCTGACAATGTAGCGGTGATTAACGCTACTGACCTCTCGCCATTGGTGGAAACTACGGATATCAAAGAAATCAAGGAGGTGGTCAGGGCGGCAAGGCCTGTGGAAATCTCATTGAAAGTGGCGGAATTGCCTACTACTACTCCAATCGAAACTATGATCGCTTCGGGACAAGTTCAGGTAAGATACATACTGAATCTGACAGTCTTAGTAATTTTGTTTTAAATTAGGCATTATCAACTTACATTTTTGTTTCATTTTTTCAGACATCAGTCAACGGCGTAATCCTCCAAAACGGCCTAGCGACGACTCAGACCAACAACAAAGCGGCGACAGGCGAGGAAGTGCCACAGTCTATCGTTATCACGACGCGGCAGCAATACGGCTTACCAGACGAGGCGGTTGTGTACTGCAACTTCAACCAGCTGTACAAGATCGATCCGCTGACGCTGCATATGTGGGTGTACATTCTGAAGCACGTGCCGAACAGTGTGCTGTGGCTGTTAAGATTCCCAGCGGTGGGCGAGCCGAATCTACAAGCCACTGCGCAGCAACTGGGTAAGAATATTTTAAGAATAACGACTGTTTTGTTTTTTATTTCAATTAATTTAAAATTATTATGTAGTCGAATCAGTAACAGACCTTCAATGTCAATAATAGTTTCAAGCTTTGAAAAGCCTCCTTATTAGCAGTTTACGAACGTTTTGTCGTCTTGCCAGCATCTACGCAGCGTTGACGTGGATCATCAACTCTCTTTAACCAAATAACGCGACGCCAGCGCTGCGTAGATCCGGCGTTCGGCAGTCGCTAAGCATTAGCGTCGCAGCGGTTTTGAGTTGACAAGATAAGATGACGACGTTCACACGGTCCCTATTTTATTTATCTTTATTAAAGAAACATACAGCCTTGTTTGATACATGCAGCTTAAAATTAAGTGGGTTACACATTGGCCTTTAAGTAGGTATTCATGCGATTCGATTTTAAGCTATCTTGTTTCCATGTAAACTTTATCTGACTAAATCTTATTTGCAGGTCTTCCGCCCGGCCGCATAATCTTCTCCAACGTAGCAGCGAAGGAGGAACACGTGCGACGCGGTCAACTAGCGGACGTGTGCCTCGACACGCCGCTGTGTAATGGACATACCACCAGCATGGACATATTGTGGACTGGCACGCCTGTCGTCACGCTGCCTGGCGAGACGCTGGCCTCCAGGTCAGTATAAACTACACTCGACATCAAATAAATCGCACCTCGCGCGACAAGAACTTTCAAACGTATGCATCCCCACTTCCCACCAATATTGGCACCATTTAAAAGCCTAGTTCTAAACTTCATTTCATTAAAGGAAAAGTTTTTACCCCAAAAATGTGTCGTTAGAAGGATCCAGAGTCACTTCTTCAAAAAATAGGTAGTTACGCTTGAGCTAACTTTTATGACTATAAAACCGTTAAGTTGGGATTAATCGCTATCTATCTGTTAAAAAGGACACGTGTGATAATTATTTGGTTTTATAACGATAAAATTTGGTCAAATTGATCCCAGAGGTGAGCCCAAAGTAAGGTCTTTTTTCAAGTCACATTTAAGGTATATGTTAATATGTTAATCGTTTATTAAGAAATTAAATGTGTTTTTCTTTAAGGATATTAATTGGGCTTTCAAATAATACCAATATTGTTGGGGCACTATGATTGTGACAGAAGAAAATCTTTAAAGTTCGCGTCGCTGAAGGTGCGGTTTATTTGATGTTGAGTGTATTACCCCGTTCGTTCGTTTCAGCCAAATGACGTCCACTGCTGGACAAATGCCACAACAACCGGTCCTGCCTTGCCCGCATCCAGGCACTTTCCGCGACCTCAAACAGATCGTAGGTCAACCTGGTTCGAGGGCTAAGCCTAACCACTACGTTTTCCGGCCCGTGGTCGCCACTCGAGATTTTTTCTGCCTCAGCGGCCATCAGCTCTGCGAGCTATGTGCCTCTCCTATTGCCACTTGATTGTAGCAATTTTTCGCACTTTGGTTTTCCTGCGGACCTCCTCATTTCTGATAGAAACTCGATAGAAACTCCTGAGCATAACACGCTCCATCGGCGAGCTCAAAGGGGTGTATGTAAAGTAAAAAATGAATTGGTTCAGTATGTTCATCATGACACAGAACGTGTATTCGTTTGTGATCTGGTATTTCCTTTCTACAAATGAAATAAACACGCTTACCGTAATGCATCATAGTTTAAAGCAAGCTTGCTCCCAAATTAAGCAATTGACCCCATTAGCCAATAATACCAATAAAAACTACTTCACAAGAAACAATGATGTCATAGATACATTAGCTCATAAAAAGTAAGAGATTGGCTTTGTTAAAGTTAATTTTATTGTTACAGAGTGGCAGCTTCACAACTTAACACACTTGGATGCCCTGAGCTGATTGCGAGGACAAGACAAGAATATCAAGACATAGCTGTAAGACTAGGAACTGATAGGGAATAGTGAGTATGGTTAACCACTGCATTTTTTTACACACCTAAGGTTTGAATTAGCTCGAATCACTGATGATTTATTTTCCATGACAATTACGCTATTGACGCCGCGTTGGTCCAACCTTTGAGGGTTCCATAGTCCATGTTAGAGCAGCGTATAGAGATAGCCATGATCATCATTAGGTCATTTATGCCCGTTTTCACCATCAATCCCTAATTTTTAAGTGACCCCTATACCAACAAAATTCATATTATGTGTTACCAATAGGGGTCACTTGAAACTTAGGGATTGATGGTGAAAACGGGCATTAGTCTCCATTGCAGGAGCCTAATGCCCGTTTTCACCAACAATCTCTAATTTTGAAGTGATCGCTATAAAAACAATATTCCTGTTATGTGTTACCATAGGGGTCAATTAAAAATTAGGGTTTGATGGTGAAAACGGGCATGAATGACCGTAAACCCTCCAATGAGGACACTGATTTACCGGAGGCAAATGGAGGATTTGGCCTACATTCCTCACGCTGGCCAGACGGGTTGGGGAGGATAGAGATAGTAAAACACGTAAAGTTTTCGCAGCAGCATACTAACCCGAACTCTTTCTTTCAGTTTAAAAGCGATCCGCGCGAAAGTGTGGACGGCCCGGACGGAGAGTCCATTGTTCGACTGCAAGGCATACGCGACCGGTCTGGAGATGCTTTACCAGCGTATGTGGCAGCGGTTCGCGCGAGGCGACCGCCCCGACCACATACAGGCCGCGGACAAATAGGCGAGCGCGCCCGCCAACTCCGCCAAGAAGCGACGCTGGTGCTAAGCGGACACAGACCTGATCAGTACGTTTGTTTTGTGGTAGTGGCTATATTAAGACTCGTGTACACATCAGACTAAATTTTAGTGCTAAAATCGCTCTTATTATTACTAAATAAGATGCCAAGTGTTTAGTTTGATGCCGTTGTGTCAAAGTATGCGCATGAGTTGGTCTTGTTGATGACTACGTAATTCCATGAGAAATACGCAATTGATGTCTCATAGCTTTGTCAATGGAGACGAGCCCTGAGACACGTGGGTAGCGAAGGGACACGTCCCTATTTTATACCCAGTTTAAATTCAACTCTTGCGCATATTTTATGATGATACAGTTGTTTAAAGTCCACCACACTTCCATTTGCACTGTAGTCTTGTCACTTATACTGGCTGGTCTATTAGAATGACAGCAGAAACGACGAGATTTATTTGTAACAACATTGTTTATTTGCTTATTTATAAACTGATCAGGTCTGATGTTATTGCTTGACAGAGTGACTGTGAACAAAATGACTCTTGAACAAAGTGATAAGTGAGGATCGTGCAGAAAAGAAGGCAGAACTGAAGGACATTTTGTAGTGTTAGCATTAACATTTTAAGCAATATCTAAAATTGGAAGCCACAGGATCATCCACAAACATGTCGTTTTGACAGTTTTCTAGTCAAGGGCCAACAAATAGGTTTAAAGCCTTTTGATCTAAAATATTTGCCCCATTGTGTAGTGATCTTTTGCTAATTGCAAGTAGAAAACTTATTTACTTTTTGTCAATATGTAACCATTAGAGTAAAGAGTTGTGGCCTTGCTGTGCTTACTTAATGTGTTGAAAAATAGAATTAATGAGTTTCCCAGTCAGATACTGAAAGAAAACTTACTCAAACCAAATTAAAACAAAAATTCAATGGGTTTTAAATGAACTTTAGTTTGAAAAACTCTTGGTAGTTGATATTAATGTGGCTGTGTGAAACTTATGTAAAGTTATTGCCAACATATATTTTTCTATTATCATTATTGAGTCAGCAGCACCATTATTGACTGCAGTTGTCCCACTTTGGCTGTTTACAAACTTTTGCTTATACCATTACCATAAGTATATTGTATTCATAAGAAACTTAGGACACCTTAGGCAACGTGTGAATGGTCATGGCCACAAATATTGAGAAAGTATCATCAACTACTAAGCAATACCATCGCAATTGGGATCTTGCTTTGAATGAAAGGAATTGAGAATGTATTTTGAAAGATCTGTCTCTTTATCTACTTGTGACGAAATTCAATTAACTTTAGGAATATCTATATTTTTTCTATAGAAAAGTTTTACTTAAAACTTTATTTTTATATTATATCGTGTGACTGCTTTTGTAGGTTTTAGCTGTGCGATATAACCATGAAATTGGAAGACATGATTTGTTATTAACTAACATAAATATAATTTATTTTTCTCTATTTTTGATTTAATGTGCTGTTGTGTTATGGATTTTTTTAAATCGTATCAAACATGTTGATAACTTTTTACTTTTCTCATTTACACATGATCGAGAGGATTGTTGTAAGACGACTGTAAGCCTAGGCGCAGAACACCGATTTTTTGTCGGTCGATAGTTCAGTCGGGCAGATAAGTATGGGAATGCGTGGAAGTGCGCACATTACAACGATTGATTCATACAAATTAGAATCGGGCCCAACTATTGGCCGACTAAAAATCGATGGTCTGCGCCTAGGCGCAGACCAATTTTAAACCTAAACCTAGGTTTAGGTTTTGACACATCACATTAGACAATAGACAACTGAGTTCCTTGATGATAAAGATCATAACTGTTTTAATATACATAACAGTTATTATAAAACACAAGTTGAGTAAAGAATGTTTTGCAACCATTCTCAGGCACTGAGCAAAGTTATGAATACTAGAAATGTTTTTAAACTGATTGAATGTAGAGTAGTATAATGAGAAATAGCTATTAACAATATTAAGTCCGCAACCGATTAAGACTGAATATCGAGCACTGGAGCTGAGGCGGCGAAATTAATTTCAGTGGTTTTTGTTTGTGGGTGACGTATAAGGGCTATATACTACGATTAAGTAATTATTTGTGATAGTGTGATATGAAAAGGCTATGCTGATTAAATTAAGACAGATATAGTTTTTTCTGATAGTATTAATATAGACGATTTGAATGCATTATGATGTCTAAGATATACCCATCGATACTCGACGCCATCAAAGTCATGTGTGTGATTGAGTATGAGAAAATGTATACAATGGAGAATTCATCGAATGGTGGTTTTTGTAGATAGTACTTTAAAAATATTTATGATGGTTATTTATTACGACATGATGAAATTACAGGATAAACACTAGCTTTGTTGATTACATAATACTAGCAATTGTTAAACGAATACCAGATTAAGCTTCAAATGTTATAAAGTAGATATCATTAAACTCTAATGAAATGTAATAAAATTACCTCAAGAAGAAAAGTAAGAAAACACGAGGAGCGTCTAAGATACATTTTGACATAATTATTTAGATAAAGTAATACATACGACATACACATGTATTAGACGACTGATGTTTTCTTTTCTAATCTAAGGAATAGTACCATTGTTAGAGACCTAAATCAATCATTAGTGTAAGCTATAAAATCGTACCTAAGCGATACCTCTTTCGTTTATGATTCAGTTGATTTTAAAATTGTAAATATGAAACTCTTTTTAACTCCAAATATAATAAGTATAAAAATATCATTGTTGTTTTACTTATTCGTTAATCCTTATGATTAGGGGCTTCTTCGAAGGCCCAGTCCAGTGACAGTGTGACGTGCTAATTTTGGGACAACCTGTATATTGTTAAGAGACTTAAGAGTCGACCTTTCGGTTCGGTTACGGATATTTTTTTTATTTCGGATATCCGAAAGTTTCGGTTACGGTTATGGATTATCTGTGCTTTAAATGCAAATTGCAATAGTTGTCCAACACGGTTCATTTACTACACTTACGAATAGAACGGATACAGAAGAGATTTCTTTGGCATCTGTCACGCTCTTTTCTTCTCACAAAAAAGCTTAGGTACATCTTATGGAAAAAGGCTCGTGCACTTCAAAATACTAAATCAGCGTATAAGACTTGCTTGACTCTGCCTACATCCGAAACTATTCGAAACTTTTGAATCGTTTAACATAGGCGCAGGCCATCGATTTTTCGTCGGCCGATAGTTTAGTCGGGCAGTTGATCAGTATAAATTCTTTAAATTATAAATTCTTTATTTCCACCACAACATTAAAGTATGGGCATGAATAGAAGTGCGCACATTACACACCGATTTGTTTTGGCCGATTCTTCATACAAATGATTAAAATCGGGCCCAACTATCGGCCAACTAAAAATCGGTGGTCTGCGCCTAGTCTTACGATTACGAATATTTTTTTATTTCGGATATCCGAAAGTTTCGGTTACGGTTACGGATATCCATAACATCTCTGATAGACATTGGGTGAATCCGTTGAAATCAAGTCTAATTATGCTGTGTGCAGGGTCGGACTGGGCCGGAAGGGCCCGGGTGGCTGATAGCGATCCCGAGGCCCGAGACTAGATCATGGTGATGGGATACTATCGAAAAATACTGAGATACACAAATTGAGATAAACAAACTGTAAATAATTTATTACAATACTAAAATAAAGTAAAATAATAAGTAGGTATTTACTAATAACAAATAATAATATAAAGCTAGCCAATCAACATTTTTTTTAAAACAGGAGAACTTTCAGCTAAGCAGTTAATGACTCGATCGTAAAAGCTGCTGTTTTCGTAATCCTTGATTAGATCCGATTCTGTATTTAATACAGTGTGAGTTACGATAAAGTGCACATATGAAATTAGGTGAAACTAGATCTATTTTTATCGACAAAAAACAGGTCAAAAATTTTTTGAGATTTAAAAAAAAATTAAGGATTTTTTTTTCTTCCAATTACTTATTGTAAAGAAAACGTAATAACTTTTAAACTAAGAGGTATATCCTAAAATGCAACCTCAAGCGAATGTTGCCGTGCCACAATCTGTCACAACGCAGCCCCAACAAATAGTCGGTGTTCCAGCGAATGCCGTGATCCTGAAAATGTCGGATATTCAGCAAATATCTACAGTGGGTGAGTGTAAAGTTTATGTATTCATTTGTTTTCTATTTGTTAAATTTCGAGATCAACATTCACTTGTCATTGTCGTGGAAAATTTCGATGGTCATTTCCATGGGACAAGTTCTATTGTCTATCCGTGCGTTTGTAACGAACTAGATTTTATTCAGATGAATTATAAAGCTTGCTTTTGTTCAGGACTATTGGAACTGGCACATCGTGAGTACCAAGCGGGAGATTATGAAAGCGCAGAACTGCATTGCATGCAGCTATGGCGTCAGGATGGCACGAACACTGGTGTTCTCCTGCTGCTGTCTTCCATCCACTTCCAGTGTCGCCGGCTGGACAAGTCTGCGCACTTCTCCACACTGGCTATCAAACAGAATCCTTTACTTGCAGAAGCTTACAGGTAAAGAACCCCTTTTTAGCCTTTGTTTACCTAATTCTTATATCATGTGGTTGTACAACTTAGTTCACAATCCTGCTAAATACTCAGTCATGAAATTATAACTTTTATAGAAAGTGTATCATTTGGAGCATTCATAATCTTATCAATCATACTTATCTTAAAGCCAAACAAATCCTATGAGAATGAAGTGAAGATTTTGAAGCAGAAAACTTTACAGCCTTGCTCAGTACATTGCTCGTATTTAATTCAATTTCTTATTTTCAAAGAATGATTGGCAATGGGTACACATTATTTTGGCACCTGCTGACTATTAGGAATAAGGTCATTTTATTAGCAGGATCAATTAATCAATGCAAACATTACATCTAGCATTAATCTTATTAGTAAACAGCTTTAACCTCGTAAGACCGAAGAGTAAATTGTGTCNATAATGGGTTAATTACGTAACTTGATTTTGCTAAAAGTCTGATCTGAGAAAAAATCAAATAGGTAAATTACACATTCTTTCTTTATTATTATGTATGATGTAAGTACTGTCTTAGGTACGATACAACTACGGATTAAGATCGTTTAGTCGACGCAGCGTTGAAATTGTACAGATAAATGCAGTTTGCGCACTCACTACGCGACGTCAAGCAATAAAAACCTAAAATTCGAACGTCAACTTTTTGCTACAACGCTCTTAAGCAATATCTAAAATTGGAAGCCACAGGATCATCCACAAACATGTCATTTTGACAGTTTTCTAGTCAAGGGCCAACAAATAGGTTTAAAGCCTTTTGATCTAAAATATTTGCCCCATTGTGTAGTGATCTTTTGCTAATTGCAAGTAGAAAACTTATTTACTTTTGTGTCAATATGTACCCATTAGAGTAAAGAGTTGTGGCCTTGCTGTGCTTACGTAAAATGTGTCGAAAAATAGAATTGATGAGTTTCCCAGTCAGATACTGAAAGAACTGACTGGGAAACTTACTCAAACGAAATTGAGACAAAAAATCAATGGGTTTTAAATGAACTTTAATATGAATACCATATGAAAACTCATTAGAAACTCTTGGTAGTTGATATTAATGTGGCTGTTAGGTAAAACATAAAAGTTTCACCTTTTATGTAAAGTTATTGCCAACATATATTTTTCTATTAACATTATTGAGCCAGCAGCACCATTATTGACTGCAGTTGTCCCACTTTGGCTGTTTACAAACTTTTGCTTATACCATTACCATAAGTATATTGTATTCATAAGAAACTTAGGACACCTTAGGCAACGTGTGAATGGTCATGGCCACAAATATTGAGAAAGTATCATCAACTACTAAGCAATACCATCGCAATTGGGAATGGGATCTTGCTTTGAATGAAAGGAATTGAGAATGTATTTTGAAAGATTCGTCTCTTTATCTACTTGTGACGAAATTCAATTAACGTTAGGAATATCTATATTTTTTCTATAGAAAAGTTTTACTTAAAACTTTATTTTTATATTATATCGTGTGACTGCTTTTGTAGGTTTTAGCTGTGCGATATAACCATGAAATTGGAAGACATGATTTGTTATTAACTAACATAAATATAATTTATTTTTCTCTATTTTTGATTTAATGTGCTGTTGTGTTATGGATTTTTTTAAATCGTATCAAACATGTTGATAACTTTTTATCAATGCCTAACTTTTCTCATTTAGACATGATCGAGAGGATTGTTGTAAGACGACTGTAAGCCTAGGCGCAGAACACCGATTTTTTGTCGGCCGATAGTTTAGCTGGGCAGTTAATCAGAATGTATGGAAGTGCGCACATTACAACGATTGATTCATACAAATTAGAATCGGGCCCAACTATCGGCCGACTAAAAATCGATGGTCTGCGCCTAGGCTTAGGATTTGACACATCACATTAGACAATAGACAACTGAGTTCCTTGATGATAAAGATCATAACTGTTTTAATATACATAACAGTTATTATAAAACACAAGTTGAGTAAAGAATGTTTTGCAACCATTCTCAGGCACTGAGCAAAGTTATGAATACAAGAAATGTTTTTAAACTGATTGAATGTTATGAGTAGTATAATGAGAAATAGCTATTAACAATATTAAGTCCGCAACCGATTAAGACTGAATATCGAGCACTGGAGCTGAGGCGGCGAAATTAATTTCAGTGGTTTTTGTTTGTGGGTGACGTATAAGGGCTATATACTACGATTAAGTAATTATTTGTGATAGTGTGATACGAAAAGGCTATGCTGATTAAATTAAGACAGATATAGTTTTTTCTGATAGTATTAATATAGACGATTTGAATGCATTATGATGTCCAAGATATACCCATCGATACTCGACCCATCAAAGTCATGTGTGTGATTGAGTATGAAAAAATGCATACAATGGAGAATTCATCGAATGGTGGTTTTTGTAGATAGTACTTTAAAAATATTTATGACGGTTATTTATTACGACATGATGAAATTACAGGATATACACTAGCTTTGTTGATTACATAATACTAGCAATTGTTAAACGAATACCAGATTAAGCTTCAAATGTTATAAAGTAGATATCATTAAATTCTAATGAAATGTAATAAAATTACCTCAAGAAGAAAAGTAAGAAAACACGGGGAGCGTCTAAGATACATTTGACATAATTAACTAGATAAAGTAATACATACACACACATGTATTAGACGACGATGTTTTCTTTTCTAATCTAAGGAATAGTACCATTGTTAGAGACCTAAATCAATCATTAGTGTAAGCTATAAAATCGTACCTAAGCGATACCTCTTTCGTTTACGATTCAGTTGATTTTAAAATTGTAAATATGAAACTCTTTTTAACTCCAAATATAATAAGTATAAAAATAACATTGTTGTTTTACTTATTCGTTAATTCTTATGATTAGGAAGTATCTACTCCATAGATAAAAGCTTGTAAAAATAGATATTTGAGAGAGCTGCACAAACTTTTCTATGGACATATAGGGACGTAATAGGCTTCTTCGAAGGTCCAGTCCAGTGACAGTGTGACGTGCTAATTGCGACACCCTGTATATCGTTAGTCTAGTCCACGACCTTTCGGATATTTTTTTATTATTTCGGATATCCGAAAGTTTCGGCTACGGTTATGGATTATCTGTGCTTTAAATGCAAATTGCGATAGTTGTCCAACACGGTTCATTATTTACGAATAGAACGGATACAGAAGAGATTTCTTTGGCATCTGTCACGCTCCTTTGCAGCTATCATCACATGGAAAAAGGCTCATGCACTTCAAAATACTTAAATCAGCGTATAAGTAGACATGCTCGACTCTGCCTACATCCGAAACTATCCGAAACTTGAATCTGTTACGGTTACGGGTATTTTTTTATTTCAAATATCCGAAAGTTTCGGTTACGGTTACGGATATCCATAACATTTCTGATAGACTTACTAACAGGATTATCCAGTAATACGATGTTGGTCGTTGATGTCTTTTACACTCACTAGTTGCGCACGCGACTCCACCCGTTATCTTATTTTAGATGAAGAAAACTTATCGATCGTAAAGTGATTATTAAGTTTGTTATTCGACGATATTTACCGTTTTCCAAACAACTACTCTCACCGGGTTATTAATTTATGCTTTACACTGCGAGTATTTACCTGTATGTACTCGTTCTCGTAGTAAGCAAATACACACGCTAACACTAGTTTTTGCAAAATTAAAAGAGTAAAGTTAGTATAAACTAAAATTGCGCGCGCCTCAACGAAATTCGTTCAATAAGCGAGAGAAAATTCTAAAAGTTTTCCCCCACGTGTTGAGACAAACACAGTCAGAGGGGCGCGCACTTTTACCTTTGATTTGGAGGTAATGTAGGTAGGTATGAGACTTATCAGTATGTGCCTACTAGGTACGTTTATATTTTCACATTACTATTGTTTTCTTACTTTTGTTTGAATGAAAATAAACCTATTGTAAAAAAGCTCTATACTAGCTTTTAGCAAGACATGTACTGACGACTGTATCGTCGTAAACTGGTTAATTTCTTCATTATATTGAGTTCATATTTGTATTGCTATTGACATAAAACATACTTATAAATAAACGGCAAACATTAAACTACGTGATGGAAGTCATATAAGTTACAAAAAGCTTGATTATAGTTTGCTCTACCTACATTCAACAAATTAATTAATAGGCTAGATGACAAAATTTCAATTATTTGTCCGTCAGACAGATACTTAATTAGAAAATATTAGACTCATATTTTTTATTTTCTTTCATAATTAAATAATAACAGTGCTAGGTACATCGAGTTGAAATGGCGCGATACGTCACGCTTGAGTAGAATTTTTACTCAAAAGACGTCACGCGACATTTCAACTCAATATACCTAATACTGTAATTATTCGATTATGGAAAAAATAAAAAATATGAGTCTAATATTTCGTAATTATCTGTCTGACGGACTAAATAGAATTTCGATTTCATTACCCAGTCATCATCCCTATTAAAAACGGGGTAAGTAATTTGGTACTGTTTTAGTTTTATGTTTGATTCTCTAGATATAATTTGATTTGATTAATATGAAGAGAGCAAAAATTAAAGGCCGTATGCCGTATTGCGTTGCGTTTGTTTGAAAGTGACATCTTTATTTTTTGTTTTTTAATTTCATTAATTTTTTTTGGGTAGTATTTAAACGAGTGACTGTAAATTTATGTTGTAAGTGTCAAAAATAATTAATGTGGGCTAAAGAATTACTAAGTGAGCGACTGAGTGCGAGTGACGAAAAATCAAAAGAACAGCAACTTACAAAGAAGAATTGAGTTCCTTAAAATACAAAATGAGAAGCTTCANGACGCTGGCTGTGTGTGCAAATAATGTTTATGCGGGAATCGCACCCGCAACCTTTGGCATATTTGTAATATTACTCCGAGCTCCGGTACGCGAAACTAAGCCAAACGGTTGAAATCCTTCTTCTACATGTCATTTTTGTTTGTTATTCTTGTTTACTAACAGGATTATCCAGTAATACGCTCGTCGTTGATGTCTTTTACACTCACTAGTTGCGCACGCGACTCCGCCCATTGTCTTATTTTAGATGAAGAAAACTTATCGATCGTAAAGTGATTATTAAGTTTGTTATTCGACGATATTTACCGCTTTCCAAACAACTACTCTCACCGGGTTATTAATTTATATTTTACACTGCGAGTATTTACCTGTATGTACTCGTAGTAAGCAAATACACACGCTACCACCAGTTTTTGCAAAATTAAAAGAGTAAAGTTAGTATAAACTAAAATTGCGCGCGCCTTAACGAAATTCGTTCAATATGCGAGAGAAAATTCTAAAAGTTTTCCCCCACGTGTTGAGACAATCACAGTCAGAGAGGCGCGCACTTTTACCTTTGATTTGGAGGTAATGTTGGTAGGTATGAGACTTATCAGTATGTGCCTACTAGATACGTTTATATTTCACATTACTATTGTTTTCATACTTTTGTTTCAATGAAAATAAACCTATTGTATTTACTTCAAGAAAAAAAGCTCTATACAAGCTTTTAGCACGACATGTACTGACTGTATCGTCGTAAACTGGTTAATTTCATCATTATATTGAGTTCATATGTTCATATTAAAAGTATGACTTATAAATAAACGGCAAACATTAAACTACTTGATAGAAGCACATAGAAGTCATATACTAAGGCTGGGTTGCACCATCTTATTTTAACTTTGACAAACGTCAAACATCTGTCAAACTCCATACAAAATGCACCGGTTATCGTCATAGTTACCGTTAAAGTAAGATGGTGCAACTCAGCCTAAGTTACAAAAAGCTCGATGATTCTACATTCAACAAATTAATTTCAATTAAAAACGGAGTAAGTAATTTGGTACTGTTTTAGTTTTATGTTTGATTCTCTACTTTGATTTGATTAAATATGAAGAGAGCAAAAATGAAAGGCCGTATGCCGTATTGCGTTGCGTTTGTTTGAAAGTGACATCTTTATTTTTTGTTTTTTAATTTCATTCATTTTTTTTTAAATCTTTTAAATCCTGTCCTTGACAATGTTTAAATAATGTCATATGTTATATGTAAGAGTAGACGCACACCGTTGATTTTTCGTCGGCCGATAGTTTAGTCGGGCAGTTGATCAGTATGGGCATGTATGGGAGTGCGCACACTACGCCGATTTGATTTGGCCGATTCTTCATACTTTTTAAAATCGGGCACAACCCGCACAACTATCGGCCAACTAAAAATCAACGGTGTGCGCCTACTCTTAATGTTACACATGTTACTATGTATAATGTCGATGTATAATCTCAATCAAGTCACATTTTATTGTTATGGTAGAGATTAGGATTGATTGAATCTAAGTTTAACTGTGGTTTAACTCTATAAGATTTCATGTAATTAGTAGTAATATTTTTGTTTATAATATGTTTTTGGTTTCCTGTTAATTTCTATAATTAACGAACATCGCATTATCTGGTAATAAGTAGGTATTAGACCTTTAGATTTTTTGCGAGTTTCGGTATAATTTAGCAAATGGGATCTTGATTACAATTCGTAACTACGGTGATTCTGCGAAATAATTTCAGTCCCCATAAAAATAACTAAGTAGCATAATATTTATCAACCTTGGACCGAATACTTTAGATTATCCATCATTATTTTAATATGAGTAACATCTCTTGGTGAGTTGTTACGTTGTTTAGGTAATTTATCTAACAAAATAAAATTTAGAAAAATATGTAAAGTGCCTTTCCGTTGCTTTTGTGCACAAACAAAACAAACTTCTGACTTTTTCAGTTGCATTTATTAACTCCGTCCGCAGGATCATTTATTTTAATAACATTAATAGAAACAGAGTCACGTAACGGTTTCCGTTTTGTACAAAAGTCGAAAACTACGGGGGTTACTTACTTAAAATGCGGCAGTAGAATGGTGCGATGGTGCGGAGTGTTCCCCGAAGGCGGCGCATTCATGGCATTTCTGATTTCATTGTACGCGGCAGTCGCGGGCCTGNCGGGCCTTCCTCCGCGGGGGGATAGCGTGCCGAGCGACCGCCGACCGCACGACCGCGCTATTTACAACCCCGTCACATCATTGTTATCGAAACCGTTCTCACAGTATCGCGTCGCGAACAGCTGAACATGAAGCAGCGCCGGTCGAGGACTAAATCATACGGACCTCCATTCATAGAAATTTGACAAGTGACGAAAATGACATGGACACAGTGCCGTTTAAAATGATAATCAACGCGATACTCTTTTGTTTAGTGATGGGCGCGGCGCTTACGGAAGCGCCTGACGATGCAGATGCCTGTTTCCGTGTGTCCGGTGACAGTGGTGCGGTGGAGTGCAATGTACGGACGTTGTCGTCGGACAGGGATGTCGTCGGTTCGATGCACTCGGACGGCGCGCTGCGGATTGCGATCCGATGCAGCCCGCTGTTCCTCGAGAGCACGCTGCGAGACCACCACTTCGGCAGGATGCAAGGTTTGGCGGAGATATCCATTAATAACTGTAAGATACTCCGGCTGCCCGGCAACGTGTTCGAGGGCCTGCGCGGGCTGAAGACGCTGAGGATCCGCTCTATGAACAACGAGTGGAACAACAACAAAGAGCTGGAGCTGTCCTTGGGCGCATTCAACGGCTTGAGAGAGCTGCACACGCTGGACTTGGCCTACAACAACATAAGAAAGATACCGTCCGACCTGTTCTGTGCACTGGAAAACATAATTTCTCTTAATCTGACGAGAAACAAGATCAAGTTTGTTGACGAGTTGGGTTTCGGGCACAAGTGCGGCTCGACGCTGCAGACCATCGACCTGGGCTACAACGACATCATGTCGCTGCCGGCG